AAAATACTTCGACCTCTAAATAAATTCTATGTCCTACTAAATCCCATCAAAGCGTCACTTCTCCCCTGTACAATAAGGACGCCCCTGTCAACATTTATCAGATGACGTCACGGTGGAATGAATTGGTATTCCTTATCTGTAGGTGTGGTCTTGAACATAAAACTTTACCACGCTGCTGTATGAAAGGACAATACGTAGTTTCGTTGTAGGTTACCTCGTTGAAGATCGTGCAGGCAGCGTCATTTGGAATTTTAGAGAATAGTGGACCACCTGAAGTATCCTGGAACACGTGTCTTATGTTCTGTCACGGTTCAACAAACGATGCGGGGGCATCCCCGTTGTGAAGGTCCTTCCTGCCGACCCTCCGCCATCGAAGCATGGATTGCAGTCCTCAAGTTTCGTATTGCATATTCCAAATAGCGACCTCGTGCTGATCTGATATTGCCGGCACAGGTGCGAGCTCTCCGAGAAACAGCGCGCTCGAGACGAGTCGCAGGTGTACGAAGTCTGGGTCGGCACAGCGAGGCCACGTCTGACCTCCTTCCTGGCTTTCGGATCACAAAAGCAGCGGATTACTTTCACGTCGGCTGATGACGTATCCTTGAGCCTTGCAATATTACGGGCGCAGCCGCAGCCGCATTCAAATATCTGTTGAACTTCACTGAGTGAGTCATCTTACTATTTCAAGTCAACCACCACCAGGCTCGTGCTGCAACGGACTGTGACTTAGCTTGGCCGGCTGGGTGTACTGTGTAGGCTAAGGCAAGAGAGACGGTTAGCAGCGGCGTTGGATGCCAGCAAACAATGGCTCAAGAAATATCTACCTAAGGACCTGCGGCAGAAGATGCTCTGACTCCACCGAAAAAACAGAGAGTGCGCAGCCGAGCTGGTGGAAGTTGATCATGATGTAGAAATCCCGTGACTGTGGTAAAAGCAGGGAAACTTGGTCGAAGAAGAAAAACAGGGGAAAAGAACGTCTCAAACTCAGCCGAGTTTGAGACGTTCCTTTCCCTTGTCTTTCTTCCTAATAATAATATTAATAATAATAATAATACATCTTTATTTTACGTGCCCACAAACAACTTTACAGTTTCCCTTCTTTTACCACAGTTTCAGGTTTTCTACATCATGACTGACTCCACTCCTGGCACGCCACCTGGTTCGAGTCCCCGACTACGCAACACTTCTCAGAAGAGAGAAGAGGACATATAGAACAATAGTTTGGAGAATCTGAAGGAACCTTGGTCAGCGTAGTAAGAATGCTCCAGCATCTCCTTGATCGTCGTGCCCTCAGAAGTAAAAATAAAAAAAAAAAGAAGAAACGTCCGGATTTTTTTTTGAGGGAGAGGGGGGAGGAGTATTTCTTAAGAAATGTAACGAACTACATTTCATCTTGATTGTATCGCGATACCAAGAAACATTCCAAACCATTTCGTTACAGGAATACAGATACCGGTGAAAAAAATGTATTGCGATACAGAAATACAGATACGAAATGTATTTCTAAAATACTATCGCGATACATTTGTATCGCGATACTGGCCAACCCTGCGGCGAGGCTCTCAATTACACCTACGCCGCAACATCAGGAGCCAGTGGTCTAGCGACGATCACCACCATCAACGGGAATCTGGTAGTCTACAAACTGAAAGAAACTTTCGCCCCAGAGGAGCAGAGGTCACGGCTATCCTTATGGTCGTGGATAACGCCGATCCGCAAAAGGACTGCCTCATATACACAGCCTCGAAATCGGCGTTTGAGAAGTGAAAAAACTTATCCATCTGCAACGAAACTCTCAAGGCCATCAAGGCTAAAGTCACGAACATACAAGGCAAAGTACAAGAGAGGTGGGTACCAGGCCACCAGGAAATACCTCAGAACAAGGTAGCAAACGCTGCAGCACGAGGAATTCTTTCGTCGCCCGCTTATAAACTTGGCCACGGTTGCCCTTTGTCACGCTCCTTAGAAATGCAAGACCCAGCAGCACTCAAGGACGCTGAGCGGAGAGCACGCCGGGAGAGAGCGCAAGCACTCCACAAGAATGACCCGCAACCTGTGCCAGAAGGCACCTACTCCCGCTGGGATAAGGTCTGCCTAGCAGGCTACGCACAGGCACCGCCATGGTTCCAAAAGGAAAGCTAAGTACGAGCGCTCCAAGAGAGAAAGATCGGCCCTGGCAACTGGGCGGAGAAAAGACAGCACATACTCCGCATATGATACAGATGCGGTTCAATGCGCGCACTGCAAAGTAGAAGCCACAGAAGAACATATCTTCTAGGAATGCAGGCAAAACTTCATCAAGAGAACCGAAGTCGTGAGGCGAATCCTCGCAATTCGCTTCGCATCACAAAAAAATTTTTTTTTTTTTTTCTTTGGGGGGGGGGGGGGGGGGGGGGGGAGGGGGGGCTACAATTGTTGTGTATCGTCATATTTAGCTAAATATTCAAAAAATGAAGCATATCCACCTTACACGATTTTTAATTCATAACCTAACATTATTTGTGTGTTTAAAAATTACCAAGGTTTATTAATTTAGCTTCTTTTTTCGTTTGTGATCACTCTTTTATCTTCGGCCCTGAAGACTGCGACAGATCGGTAGATCAGCCCCTAAGCCAAAACGTTTGGAGACCTCTGCTTTAGAATGAGCTTCATTAGAGCCACACTAAAAGACCTAGCCTAAAACAAGCTAATTATACTACTGGAGTACCAACAACCATTTTGAGGCTGCATCATAAGCGTGAGTGGGATAATGTCGGTTGTGTGACATTTTGTTGTGAATTAAAAATTAATACAAAGTAAGTACAATAAGGAGAAAAGCAACTATCAACTCAGTTCCGTGGAAAAAAAAAACTGGGCAATTAATAGAGCAGATTCCAGCTAACATCCTGGAGAACCAGGAATCAACCGTGAAGGCTTTTAATGAATGTTAAGACATCAAAAATTATTTGTGAAGGCATTGAAGACACTTACATACAAATATTAATACAGTTTTTTTTTTTTTCAGAACTATTTTTATGCTTCGCGTCTCTGCATCTTTCATTGACGAAATCTGCAAGTCAAATTCATCAGCACGTGCGAATTCGTATTTTTAATTTCAAATAGTTCGATTTTAATTGCAAAGTAACGAACAATCAACGTACCGGCTTGCGTTTTCTTTTTTCTGTACATATATTTTGCGCCATTCGCGTTAAGAACCACAGGGCACCTGTGGCGCCGCAGGGGCTAAATTGCTCATATACAGGTAAGAAATCATGCGCTCTCTGAGGCAAACTAAATTGTTGCTGTTATGTTTCTGCGGAAAAAAAAAATTACTGCCAGCATGTTGAGTGTGAGCTATGGTCATTACATTATTACCTATGAAAGTTCCTTACTGAGAGATATTTTAAAAAAAAATGGCCAATGACAAAAAAGATCTGACTAGCGCTGCTGTTCGCGAAGTCGTCTAAAAAAACTCGAAACATAGAGGTTATAAATTCACAGATGAGCATCATTTGCGAACGTTACACGTTTATATAAGATCATCAATGTCGTTACCTAAACGGACGTCAAAGGAAAGACAAATATCTTACCGCCAAATACTTCTCTTCAGGCTACTCATATTGGCTTGATTGTTAATATGTTGAGGTATCCAGGAAATTTCGCGTTTTGAAAAAGCGAGAAACATTTCTCACACCTACCGTAAAACGTCATAGCTCGAATCGAACATCCAAGAGACATCATTTGCTCTAGTTTAATTCGATACTTTCCAGCTGTGAGACAGGAAACAGGTTTCATTTCATTTCCTCGTTCATCGCATTGCGCTGTACCGGAAGCTTCGTGTGGTCTCTAAACGTTACATGTACATCTTAGTTTGAACTGCAACAGAAAACGAAGATTAATAAGTGACTTTTAGAGCCGAAAGGAAGCTCCTGAAATGGAGCAAACAGACGTGATAGTCGGCGACGTCCCGGAGCAGAGGGACTTGCCCGCCGGCGGCGGCGTATACTAACGCGTTTCCACAACAATGAATGGCGCCACTTTTCCAAGAATCGAGGGACGTTCGTGAGTTTGAGTAAAGCCGCTTTATGTTTTAAAAGTAGCGCAAGGTGCGTCGATGCGCGAGGCAGGTGACCACCGTGCGGGAGTATGCAGGAACAAACCACTAATAGCGAGATAACAATCATAAAGCTTCTGGCGTGACACAAGGGTAGAGAAATTAAAGTTTGCTTCTCTTGTAGACACACTAGCTGTATACTTTGATGAGATGTAGCGGCCTGCTCGGTTCTGTACTGCTTCAAGTTGAGTGATCAAATACGTTTAGTGGGGATTCCAAATTGTAGTGCCGTATTCGAATTTTGGCCGAATGAAAGCTTTGTACCTAAGTTTCTTGAGTTTCGAGTGAGCAGCGCTTCGGCAGCGCCGGATCTAGTCAAGGGTCTTTGCTGCGTACGATAAGATGGCGTAAATGTGGTTGATCCACGACATGTCAGAAGTTAGAACCATACCAAGATACTTGAGTTTGATTACTTCTTCAATGATCTCGTTATCCAGCTTCTAATGAAACGAGAATGGGACTCTCTTTCGAAAAAAAGCGAATTAATTTGCACCTTGATTTGCTTAATGGCATTAACCAGTAAGTACACAACTTGGTGACGCAAATTCGGTCCTTTTCAGGGGCGGATCCAGGTTTTGTTTAAGGGGGGGGGGTCCAGCAAGCGCCCGGGAAAGGGGGAGGGGGGGGGGGGATAGACCCATCATTCGACCGCGGAAGCCGGGCATGACTCCCTGCTCTCTCTCCCCCCCCCCCCCCTCTCCTCCTACTTCCCTCACCCATCAAATGCTTATTGGCTGGGGAAAGTGCTACAGGCGCCGACACAGATTGACCACAATTATGTTGTGATAAATTGTATCAAACCTTTGCCTTTTTTGAGAGAGGAACAATGAATATTTGCGTTTTATTAAAAACATGACGGGATTAATGGAAACAATGTACAGTTCTGTTATGGTAATGCTGTCGTACTTCAGTCGTACATCACGCATGCACTAAACATCCGACGCTGATGCTTTCTGATGAACGCCAGACAAATCGCTTTGGTGTCTATCGGAATGTCTTGATGGACATGCATTAGAGCAAGTCCAGTGAAACGTTCTTCTGTCATTGTGCTTCGCGTGTAGGACTTGACTCTTCGTAGAGCAGAAAAACTCCGCTCTGCCTCGGCGCTTGAAATGGGAAGCGTGCATCCAATTATTAATAGCTGACGAATGTTCGGGAACACGTCGCCGTCGGTGCTGCACAAGGTATCACGAAGATCCTCAGGAACGCTGTGCAGAGTCTGAGTCCTCCAGAATCTACACCACTCCTGGAGCTCGTGCCGCAGCGATGACGGAGACGGGAGATCCTCTTCCCAGAACAGAAGCTCTTCGTGAAGAGACCGCTCTAGAGTGTCCGGGCCATCACTCAATATGTACGATGGTAGTAAGCAAAATATTGCCTTGCCTACCCTTTCCTCCTGAGCAAATCGCGTATCCATCTCTTGGAGCATGGGGTCAATAAAAGGAACTGCCGTGTTGGTTCTGTAATGCTCTTCTGGAGATGAGGACGGATTGTTCGAACGGTGAGCTTGACGAGCAACTACTCTTGGAGTTTGAATTTCGGTCCCAACAAGATCTGCCAGCTTGACGGAGTCGTTGAACCACGATTTAAACTCTTGCTCGACTTCACACCGCAACGCCCGAAGTCTAGAGATGGTAGAATCAATCATACCATACGCGTCGATGACGTCCCGATCCCGTTTCTGAAGCTTCGTGGCAAGGGGCTTCACGACCTCCAGGGCATTTTTTACAATCATAAAAGATACGATCGTATCCGATGACTTCAGATTGACGAGTAGGCCGGCCGCCCTCATCTTGGTGTCGCGGTCCCAGGACCACTGCTCGGCGGGCGGAAGGTCACGTGAGTCATCGGTGCTAGCTTCGATGTCAGTTCGCGCGTAAACATGGCGGTGTTGGTCGGGCACAGTCATAGCTTCTAAGCAGAGGCACACGTAGTGGTACAGGTTATAAAACGTATCCAGTGCTGTGTGTCGTTCTACCCATCTTGTGCGACACAAACCGCAAAGCCTCCTCTTCGCTTGTTCTGAACCGTATGCCTCTAGCACTCGTTCCAAGAAACGTTGCCTCTTCGGAGACATGTCAAAGAAGAAAAACACCTCATTGATGACGTCAACGGTGAGGCGCACTTGCGGAATCTTGCAGGCTGTTGCGATGCTTAGGTTTAACCTGTGATTGCTGCAGTGAGTGTAGAGAGCTTTTGGGGACGCCTCTTTGATTCTAGCTTGGACACCAACCCGGGACGATGACATCGCTGCCGCTCCATCATACGACTGTCCCCTTGCTTTTGTAATGTCCACGTTGCAAGCAGCCAAGCTTCGGATGATTGAGGAAGCCAGTGATGCCCCCGTGGTTCTCTCCATGTGCACGAAGTCAATCACGCTTTCCTTTATATGAACTCGCTGGTTCTCAAAGACGAGATAACGTAAACAGACACACAAAATTTCTTGGTTCGAGTGCCGGTCGGTAACCTCGTCAGCGATTATTGAAAACACTCGCGACTCGCCAGCTATCTTTTCAGCAATCGATGCTTGGATGTGAGTTTTTATGACATCAATCAGGTCATTCTGGGTTGTCTTTGATGTGCCCTTCGCATTTCGTGCTGCTGTATCGAGGTGCGTCCTCAAGCGCGAGTCATGCTCGGCTATTAAGTTGACAATGGCAATAAAATTGCCTCGGTTGGTTGACGCATTCGTCTCGTCGTCGCGATGGCCACGAAGAGGGATATTTTGTCGTCCGCAAAGTAGAACAGCCTTCACAAGCACCTCAAGGATGCACAAGTTCTTTTCATACAGCTCCTTGTTTTTGTTAGAGATCATGACAGGAATAGTGGCATCTGGCCTGTCCAAACTTGACCTTAGCGTCATAGCCTGAGCCATCGCATCGCTGTGGTAGCGAAGGCGTTGATGGCATTCAAGAAAGCCATCTTTGCCACCGGCCTTGGACAAGTTATTTAGTGGCTTGCTGACTAAAACACCCGCTTTGGCGACACGTGGATCTCGGGGAGGGAAGAGTACACAATATTTGCATAACCCGCCACGCAGGTGGGGGCTGTACACTAGCCATCGGTATTTTTCCAGCCACGAGTGCTGAAATGTCAAAGTTTTTTCTCTTTTCGCTGTTCCTTTTGTAACAGTTTGCTTTACAAATGCGCTGTAGTTCAAAGGAGGCACGAAGTGGTTTGAGATGTAGTGAAGCTTTTCAGTGCCTTCCAGCGCTACCAAGGGCACGCTCCCATCAGCAATAAAACCACAGTCTACGGATGTTTCCTTACTTGATGGAACTACCTCCGTGCGTTGTCGTTTCGGTGGTTCCGGCCAAAGCTGTTCTTCGGACTGGTCCGGTGTGTCGGGCCTTGTCTCCGAAGTCGCCAGACGGCTGGTTGAGGCACTCGATAGTTGGGAATCCTCACAATTGCCGACACTTAGCGCAAAATAAGACGTCACTTTACGCTGCATCACTGGAGCTGGACACACTCAAACAAGACTATCCGAAAATATGCATTATTGGAAGAGATACACCGTGGACGCGAGGACCCATTGCTTTTTGTACGGCAGCTGTGTCTGAAGGCTGGAGTCTGGACGTGTGCAGAGACGGAGACTTTTTACAGCTTTTTAGAATGGACCTCTTCGAGTAACTGGCGCCGTCTGGGGAGCTGTCTGCGAACTGTTGGGCCTCAGATCTCCCTTGCGGAGGCGAGTCAACGCGCCAACCCCCGGTCACAGTCCAAGTTTCGCGGCGCTGACAATAGCGTCGCCACTGTCAGTGGCGCTGTGTATAGCGTCGCTAGAGTAACTGTATATGCTCCGCTTGCGGAGCAGAGTACCGCAATGGTGCCATTCTGGAGCCAAGCACTGCGGGAAGCCACGGTCGGTTTTTGCAGGGGCACGAAGGCGCAGACGCGAGGCGGCGTGCTGTCGTGCTGCGGCGCGCTGCGGAAGGAAAATAGTGCGGCGACGAGCCGCGTATGCGCCGTGATCGTTGTCCCGTCGTTTCCTGTTTCCCTCTCGATTGCGCTCGCCGACTAGCCAAGATGGCCGGATGTGCCGGTCGCGTATCGGTATCGCGTATCACTCCGCGAGAGCCGCAGACGCGAAGAACGCGATCGTCGACCGTGTCGTCTGCTCCGCATACCTTGAAAACGGATGTCCCAAAACATCGCTCGCGCTACAAAAAACGGGATTGTACTGTACCCAGTTGATACACATAATGTTCAATGATTTAGGAAGCTTTGGGTTCGTTCGATTTTGGTCTAGGATCTATATTTTGCGAGCGCAAAGCGGAAAATACGTTGCCCCCAAAACGCGGCGCTCTGGAAGGCCGCTTTCCCGCACGAAGGTCGGATCCAGTTCTGCCCACGTGACCACTCCTCCGCCAATGCGGAGATGGCGGCGAAAGGAAAAGGGACGCGATACTCTGGCTCTGCAACTCTACGTCGCCACCGACAGCCGCGCTTGGGTGGTGGGGGCTCTCATTAATATAAAAATACAAATTAAAAGCTTTGTTTGCTAACAGTAATTTCAACAAAACGTTTTCACCACGCCATGAAAATCAATTGTAATCTATTTGATATAATTATTTCTGTTTGTTCCGTTTTCGGTCTGAAACCAAAACTCTAAACTGACCCGCTCGCCTCGCCGGCGCCCTGGGCCTTGGAAGGCGCCGCTGCTCCCCTCGCCCAAATTTGAAACTTCGTAACGGCGGACGGAGGTGTCGCGTGGTTTTGTTTACCCAAGGGTCGTGCAAGCGTGCTTGCACGACCCTTGGGTAAGAAACCATAGTTGCGGTCGCGTAAGCTGAGAAACGGACCGTCGTCTTTTTCACTGGTGTCCGAAGAGCTTAGCTAACTAGCTAAAAAAAAAAAAAAAAAAAAAAGGGGGGGGGGGGGGGTCCGGACCCCAGGACCCCCCCCCTGGATCCGCCCCTGCTTTTGAGGAAGAGCCTAATTCATTAGGTGAGGTGATTTCGCGATATAGTACGCAGTCATCTGGGAAAATGCCTATGTTAGAGGCAATATGGTCCGGAAGATCATTAATGAATATTGAATAAGGAAGCGTACCAAGGACTATTCCTTTGGGCACACCGGACGTGATATTAGTACGTTTAGATTTATGCTTGTTTAAGACAGTGTACTGAACTCGCGAGGTAAAAAATAAGCGTATCCATTTGAGGACTTGGGGATCTAGATGAATACTGGAAATTTTTTGAAATTAAACGAAGAAAAGTAACGCGGTCAAATGCTTTGGAAAAGTCCAAATGTGTGGCATCTGTGTCACTGCGAGATAAAGGGTTACGGTAAAGGTCATGAGTGAATTAAAAATGTTGCGTTTCGCAAGAATAACATTTGCAAGATCTATGCTGGTGTTGCTAGAAGAAGTCGTTGCTGTCAAGATAAGACATTAAATGGGAGTGATTATATGTTCAAAAAGCTTCGATGGGATAGAGGTTAGTGAGTTAGGACCATAGTTTGAGGGCATGGAGCTATTGTCACTTTTGTGGGCCGGAGAAATCTTGCCCACTTTCCAATCAGACGGGAGGCAGCCTTTGGACAGTGACTGCTAGAATATGAAGTGTAATATGGAACTGGATATTGCCTAGGTATTCTTTAGTATCTCGAATGATACATCATCTGGTCCTGAGGGCGATGAAAGTTTTAGCCCTTTGATTAGGGTGGCAACACCGGCGAAGAACTGAGATGGGGCATAGAGTCTTAGGGGGAAGTTGGCAACTCGGGTATATCTAAAAAAACCTCATTTGTAAATCTGGAAGTGAAATATTTGTTCATTACCTCCGAACATAGCTGTTTGTCACTTGGATTTTCGCTCTCATTGATGGATTAAACTAAGCGGTTGTTGGTTTTTTTTTGTGAAATTAGATTGCAAAACGTTTTTGGGTTATTCTGAAGGATGAGTGGCACGTCCTGGGTGAGATGTTTTCTTTTAGATGATCCGATCAGATTGGTATATTCTTTAAGAGAGGCGTGGCACCTTTGCCAATTATTCGGAGAATTGGCGATATTTGCTTTTTGAAAGAGTAATTTTTATATTGTCGAGTGACTTAAGCGTTTTATTGTACCAAGACTGACTACCATCGCTTCGAATACGGACGGTGGACACAAATACTTTTATAAGCTCATTCAGTTTATTTTTATATAAATTCAACTAAAGTCGATTTGATACGAGTTCGAAAAGGTTATCAAGTAGTTATTTATTGGTACAAAATAAGGTTTATTGAAGTCTCCTATTACCTTTTTAACAGTCATTTTGACTGCGATTGGCAAGGACAGCATGATGCTAAAAGCTCATGGTCGCTGAAAGCATCGCTGTAGCAAACTGACTGAAGAAGGTCGGGTGAGGATGTAAGAACAAGGTCAAGTATATTTTCACAACGGGTAGGGTTCTGAACTACTTGAGTGAGGTTAAACAGCAAACATAGTTCCGGAAATTCACTGGAGTCTTGTGATGCGGTTGTTGTAAGACTCGACCAGCATATATTGGGAAAGTTTTGAAGTCCCAAAATAACAAGATGTTGGCTTTTGGGAACCAGTTAGTGATCTTTACGAGGGCTAAATGAAATTCCCTCGCAAAAGTGGGATCAATATTAGGCGGCCTTTAACACTCGGCAATTATAGTGTTATTTGTAGTAGAACAAAGGTAAACACAAGTGAGCTCCAGGCTGCATAGTAATTGGACGCTGAGGGAAGCGGTGTGCCTTCTCACACCAATAAGGACACTACAATCGCGTTGCAGTGGCCTGTACCTTCGGTAAATACCTAAGTTCACAAACTCTTAGAAAAAAAAAAGGAGGAGAAATGTAGTAACAGCGACTGTTCCTCCTTGTTGCGGACAAGTTGCCCAGAGAAGGAAGCAACGGAAGTTTAGATGAAAGGAGGAGGCCGAGTTCCTCCTTGTTCAGTTGGCGCAGGTGTGAAACATCGCACTACTGACCAAGTGGTCAAAGGTTCGATCCCTGAAGGAGCGGGGTTTTTTTTAGTTTTTTTTTATTTAGCAAAACACACATAAACAAACCTAGACCGATGAAAGGAAAATTAAAGTCCTTATTATCCACCGACGCCAAGGAAAGCTATACAAATATCATTGCTACAAGCTTCATCAGCACTCTGTTTGATAAGCAAGATTTGGGCAGCCAGGTTGAATCTAAGCCGTTTACGCAGGGGCCAAGACGACGAGGTCGGTCCTTCAATCGTTTATTTTGCTGTGGCGTTTTTGACATTCATAAAGAAAGAAGTTTA